CCTATCTAACTGAATCGTGTGTTTATTAAATGGAGAAATAAAATGTTGGAGAGCCCGAAAATGAAACCTGCTCGCTTATGTGTGACTGCGATTTGCCAGTCTATTTCCATGTGACTCCGCCCCCATGAAACCACCACTGCGCAATGCCGGGAGGTTGTCGTTTCAATGAACGTTGGCTGGAAGATGAAAAATACAAATTATGGATTAAATGGGGACAAACCCCACGAGTTGCCTCTTGTAAAGTCTGCAAAAAAGATGTGCAGTTTTTCACAATGGGCGAGTCTGTGCTCACTGAAGTAGCCTAGTTCATGTTAAAAATTAAGTTACTAGAAAGTTACTAGAAAGCTCCCTAGATGAGGAAAAATTAGGCGAAATCCATAAAATAAAACTAAACGAATATATTGAAAAACAAAATAAATGTTTAATTCAAAGCCTCCGAATTGATAACTTTGAACATAGCAATAAGTCAGGAAGTTTCTTAGCTATCAGCTAAAAATAAATAAAGAAAAAACAACTGTATTTGCAGTTAGAGACTCAATTGGTAATATATTACAGGATCCGGAGGGTATTAACAATGCCTTTCAAGATTTCTATAAAGCGTTATACACATCACAGGTAAATCCATCAGATAATGATTTCTGGATAAAATAACTGTTCCTTAATTATCAGAGAGTCAAAGAGCGACCCTTGACTCACCGCTGTCAACAGCTGAAGTTCAGGAAGCATTAAAAAGCATGCCAAATAATAAAGCACCAGGTCCAGATGGGTTCCCTACTGAGTTCTATAAAGAGTTCTGGGACATTCTGGCCCAACGTTCCACAGAATGCTGCAGGAAACTCTAGATAATGGCAAATTTCCAGTTAATATGAATTCTGCCACCATCAGTCTCCTGCTTAAGCCAGGCAAAGATCCTATGCTTCCGACCAGCTATCGTCCCATATCCTTAATTAATGTGGATATTAAAATAACATGTAAAGCTTTAGCAAAACGATTAGATAAAGTCACTCCTCTCATAATCCACCCAGATCAAACTGGTTTCATTAAAGGAAGGCAGTCAGAGGCTAACACACACAGACTGCTGAATTTAATAGATTATTCCTACAGCAAAAATCTTAAATCCTATATATTGGCTTTAGATGCAGAAAAAGCATTTCAGAGAGTAAACTGGAAATTTTTATTTGCTACTCTAAATAAAATTTGGTTTTGGCAATTCCTTTATAAATTGATTAAAAATATACAGCTGCCCAACAGCCTGTGTCAGGACAAATAATCAAACATCTTCCAGCTTTTGTCTCCATAGGGGCACCAGGCAGGGATGCCCGCTCTCCCCCTCACTTTTTGCCATTTTCATTGAGCCTCTAGCTGCTACTATCAGACAAACTAATGTGGTTAAAGGTATAAAAGGCATGAAAATAGAGCATAAAATTAGTCTTTACGCAGATGATGTATTATTTTATCTCCAGCACTCAAATACTTGCCTCTCTCAAGTGATTACATTACTAGAATCTTTTTCAAAAGTCTCAGAATACTCTATAAATTGGTCTAAATCTATAGTACTACCAATT